ATTATCATTAAAAAAGCGCAAAAATAAATAAATAACAGTTCTTATGTTTGATTCTCTCATTTTTGTTGGTGAATTTGATGGTTTTGCAAAGTCCTTGAACATAACTACTGTTGTGATTTAGCGCTATACACAAATAAACCCATTTTTACATTACATTAGAACACAGTATTTCTTACTCTGGTTATTTATTTTCTGTCCAACCGCTTTCGTAAGTATAGATTATTGACATATGATCAACATTTACTGCATGAAATTTCCAATAAAGAAATTATTTAGCATTTGAAATTGTGCAACATCATTTTTCAAGCAGCAGACAGAAAAGAGAACCTTGATTCATTCCACACCGGGGAAATACAGCTCTAGGCTCTCCACGTCTGTTGTGTTTTATAAATAATAATATAGGGTTTAATACTTTGTTTATTTTTAATCATTTGTTTTCTGTTTTCAAGCTGTATCTAACAGTGGAAATACTTCCTGTGATTACTATAGTGAAGGTATTTGTCGACAGGAGCCAAAAGTGAAGGCAACAATGTACTTTTTGTAAGGAATAGTATATTAGCAGAACCGATTGTAGAATTTGGTTTATTCTCACTTTTTAAATTTTGTTTTTGTTTTTGACTCGTTCTTTCCCAACGCAGAAGGGTCAAGTTCTTTGATGATCTGGGACATTTAAGAACATTTATGAGCATTTAGTGACATTTATGGACAGTGGTCGCCCGGCTCAGTGTGGACCAATAGATCATATGTTGAGGAATAAAAAAAACGTTGTAAAGTCATGCGATATAACTCCTGTTGTTATTTATTTCTTTAAAAAAATATGTTGAATTGAATTATGTTTGGTTAACAGAAGCAAATCATTTATTTATCCATCACTAGTTTGTCTTTTTTATTTCCGAAACCAAGCATTTAAACTCATAATTTTCAGCAGCTAAAAACTACAAGAAAGTAGTGAGTGTAGAAGTGTCAGCAGAATTTAATCCATTGTAATGTGAGAAACAAACCATACTTTCACACATGCTTTTGCCTGCCCCTGAGTCCAACATGCAGTGCAGACACTTCTCCACACGGGGGCAGTCTTCACCAATGTCTTTTTCTCATGCGTGCTCTTTTGCAGTGGTCACATGTATCCAGCAGATGACAGTAAAGGACTGTTATAACATTGTCTCCCTGGACCAGTTCTCAAGAATGGTAAGATTTAACAACCCAAAAGGAGAATATTCTACACTTTTCAACAGTAGTAGTAGTAGTAGTAGCCGCAGCAGCAAAGGTAGTAGTAGTAATGATAATGCATTGGTTTTATATAGCTCTTTTTTGGACACTCAAAGACGCTTCACATGTCATTATTCATTCTCTCCAAACACGGTGGTTATAAACTACTACTGTAGCCACAGCTGCCCTGGGGCACACTGACAGAAGCGAGGCAACCAGTATGTGCCATCGGCCCCTCCGACCACCACCAACCATTCACACACACACCAGACTCATTCTAGGCAATGGGGGTAAAGTGTCTTGCCTAAGGACACAATAGTAATAGTAGTAGTAGCATCAAAAGTAGTAGTAATAGTAGCAGCAAAAGATCTAGTAATAGTAGTAGTAGTAGTAGAAGTAGTACTAGTAGTAGTAGCAGCAAAAGTAGTAGTAGTAGTAGTAGAAGTAGTACTAGTAGTAGTAGCAGCAAAAGTAGTAGTAGTAGTAGTAGTAGTAGTAGTAGAAGCAGTAGCAGCAAAAGTAGTAGTAGTAGTAGAAGCAGTAGCAGCAAAAGTAGTAGTAGTAGTAGTAGAAGTAGTACTAGTAGTAGTAGCAGCAAAAGTAGTAGTAGTAGTAGTAGTAGAAGCAGTAGCAGCAGCAGCAGCGATGGTATGTGCATAATACAAAAACAACTCAAATATGAGTCTCTAATTGTATTTTTTTCAGACAAAGCAGTGCAGCTGTGTCCCCAGTCGACCCGGTACAAATATCTGGGGGGTGAGAGAGGGTGAGGGGGGTGAGGGGGTGAGGCGGGTGAGGCAGTAGGAGGCTATGACCTATGAATCCTGCCACAAGAATGTCTTTTTCTGACTCCTTCAGTTTTCACGTCACTTTTGGGATTTTCTTCCATTTAGAAAGAACTCTGTTTCCTAATACAATATTACAACTGTCAGAAAGTCGTAAAATGTGTACATGACCTCCTGAATGCACTTTCTATACAGGGACTTGGCTTCCCACAAACGTTTCTCCACCTTATTCTTACTTATTTTTCCCTCTATATTTCTGTTATTGAGTAGTAGTCCTCCATCTCTTGTATAGTTTCAAGTCTCCAGCTGTTTTACAACCTTATACCAATAGACAGAGCCATGTGCATGTCTCAAAATCACTGTCTACTCAAAAAACATAGAGGTACCCATAGCCAATTACATTACTTACCATGTATTTATTATTCATTTTCCATTGGCAAACCATGTCTTTCAAATTGCACTCAAGTAAAGAAACAATTATCTCTTTATTACTATGAGCTAATGTCGCGTTGTGGTGGTTGGTCTATGTCTATCTCCTGATGCTATCTTATTAGCGGTGAATAGAACAAGCAATAACATTCATTCAAAGTGGGACGAAACATCATTTAATGGTTAAACGCATTGCTTTTATTGAGAGCATACATGTAAATTACAACAAGGACTGCAGCCTGATATTATTATGGGCAGTTTTCATTCGAGTCAACTGCTTGTGTCTCTTCCAACTTGAACCCAGTCAGAAACGCGCCTTACAAAATAAAAGCTCAACATTTTGTAGATTTGCGGCAAAGAATTTCAAGCTTTTTTTTTCTCCCAGTGCCGCTCGTGTCAGTCTGAAAAAGGATCCGCGTGTTGGGGATGCTCCTCTGCGAGTAACCCCAGCCTCTTTTGGCATTTGCAAAACACATTTCTATAGCTGTATTTCAATCCCTCGAAGCTGAAATGTGAACGCAAGTCTGTCGTTCAGGTGTAGGACTGGCATGTCCTCTGGTGCCAAAGTGGTATGGGTTAAAACTCTAGTAGGAATACTATGAGACCATTGCATTATAAATATATGTAATTGAGTAAATGGCAGATATTAGTGTAATGCAATACATTTGAGGCCTCTATACATACGTCACATTTAAAAGTATTTTGTACCATAATTTGTTAGCAATATGAGCTGTAATTTGTCCAGAGGTGGCAAAAGTAGTAAAGTAAAACAAAAAGTACTGAAACTGCTCTTTTTGTTGAATAATTGATGACAATATACTAATTTAAACACTCAAACAACATTGTACCCATGTAGATGTTTTTTTTTTTTTTTTTCAGAGAATATAAACAAATCATTAGAACTCTAGCTGAATGGTGATCTGAATGAAAAGTAAAACATTGTGAGAAAAAAATAACTACAACATTAAATCACAGATACATTGCAAAATGTCATAATCCCGTTTTCACCAGCCCAACTTGGCTCTGCTCCACTCTTCTCGGCTCCACTCTACCTCGATTGGGAGCGTTTCCACCGGTTTTACCAGGTACTTTATCCGTATCTACTTGGCCCTGGTTCAGTCTAGACCCGAACTTGTTCTAAGAGATTGGAAGCCGACGTTACCAAGGAATTTCCCCGGATACTGGTTTGTTGAGGGTAGGTTGCTATAATACAGTACTAATGAGTAATGGAAATGCAAAGTGGGCAGAATAGGGCCGAGTAGAGTAGAATAGGGCCAAGTAGGGCAGTTGTAAACAGGGCTTTAGTGACTTGCCACCTCTGAATTTGATTATATTTTTTAAACAAATCAATTCCTTTTATTTATGTATAACAAACCCGTGTATTGCTTGTGTGTTTTTTTCAAACACAAACGTTCTGCTATCACTTCCTACAAGCTCATTTATAAACACAATTTTGGCTTTTGATATAATTTCACCTCAAGTAACCATTTTTAAATCAGTAATGATATTTTCCCCAGAGCTTGGCAAATTACAGTTTCGTATTTACCACCCGCTGAAGCTAAGTTTGAAAATCTTAAGGCTGCGTTCGTGCATTCGTCTCAGTGCATTTGCAGAAACACATTAGTGAAGCTGAGAAATAGTGATCATAGTTTTATTGAGTGAGAGTTAACATCAAAATCTGTTACTATACGGCGACATATAAACAGCAATATTTATTTGTACAGTAGAAGAAACAGACGGGCCAGAGACTGCATCACGTCAAACTTCAAGTATGTTACACAAATAGTTGCTTGATTCCCGCAGTCGTGGGCCCTTTAAATTAATACTTAAGAAGATTATCTGGTATGGCTTTCGACTAGAATGCCCCCTATAGAGTAAAGTTTTGGTATAGCGTAGTAAGAGTTACCCAAGATCAGAAATTAATAAAAATCATATGTTCAATTCTATTCCAAAGAAATCTGTTATAATACTGATATTAATATAGCGACTACATAGTTTCTACAGTGTTGGAAAAAAAACAAATCAAATTCCCGAAGCGCTCAAACAATTGCACTTGTGTCTGATTTAAATTATCGGCAAAAGCGGCAATAACTGTTGTAAGGATAGGAATGATAAATACATAGCACCATTTTGTTGAAAGTAGAAAGAAAAGAAAAAAAAGAAAAATGGCAAGCCCTTCAATGAATTATTCCAGAAACATAAATATATGTGTCATGCATTTTAAAGTTTTTTTTTCACTTTATGGCAAAAAAAAAATAAAAATAAGGAAAATTAAAAATAAATGAATTTGTCGTTACAAACAAACGCCGAGGCACTTAATATGCTAAAACAGTATCAGAGCAACACAAACTATGTACACATATGTAAAAAGTGTTATAAATAGGTCTTAAACCAAAGCTACTATTTACATCCTTCATTGTTGGGTGTTGGAGATGGTTTCAATGGCGATTCGCATACGCCCATGTCCGTGATGTCACCGTTCAAACAGCCAATGGCGCGAGAGCCTGAACGAGCGTGCGGGGGTCACGTGACGTTTTGTTGGTTTTATAGGTTTTCAGGTTTTCAAACTCGGTCGGCTCATTCTCGCTTCCTTAAGACCACGTAAATGATTCCGCTGATCAGAGCCAGAGGGAAGGCCACCCACGCCAGGATGTAGGAGTACCCGAAGGAGTCTGTAGAGGGCGCCCACTCCGGACTCATCACCGTGTAGATGATGGCGCCGCTCATTACAAACAGACCTGCACAAAGCAAATAACATCATGTAAATATAGGTGGATTAATACAGAGATACAGTACAAACTTTAATGGTGCAATGACTTATCCCTGTGGGCTTCCTAAGGCAAAGGTTTGATTGCAAGAGTTAATTTAAATAAAGTAAATAATACTCCAACATAATTCTAGTTTGTATGAGACCACAAGTGCTAAAGTTGGGACATGGATCAAAACCGTTTCAAAACTATTTTGTCATTATGTTTTACTTGTGATACTTTCTCAAAATACCCTCAATTTACAAGCATCTTCAGCCTCACGTATAAACATAGACATGCAGGATACATCCAAAATGTATATCTATTTGAATTGTACAAAGTATTGTATTAAGATTTTGTTTGCATGCCATTCATATCTGGTTGGCACCATTTTTCCAAAGAAAATTCCCAGTTTGTGACTTCCTGTTTGTAACCCAGGGTTAAATTTCAATCCATCCCTGGTTTTCCCCTTCTCTAGCAATTAGCCAGAGCATAGCACCTGTCCCAGAACACACACACACACACACACACACCTGATTTCATAATCAGTACAGTTTAAAAGCTGCTATCACTTCTCACACTCGAGTGTGAGGAGTGAGGAGTAAGGAGACAGCAGCTGCTAGGTCAGTCTTTGAATCACTTTAAACTTTTTCATCTTTATACATTCAACAAACTTACCAGTTGCATTATTTTAATTCACAGACTAAACATTTGTGTGTGTGACAGTAATTTTCCGGTGTGTGTGCTCACGATAATCTGGACTGGTGAGTGTACCACAGATTATTATGTACTGTAATTGTAAATTAGCATGCTGATATGCTAGTTTGTGGTTTTAATGTGTGATGTCCAACATCCATGTGATTTTGACTGTGATTTGTTTAGCTTAGCATAAGCTCCTGTTGATTTGTATATGGTACCATTGATTTATATTTGACTTTGTGCACATGACTGAGAGGCCTTGTTTGTTTATACAGGCCAGGTTTCCCATTGCTGGGGACCTAATTGATGGCGAGCTAGAGAGCCTGGAACTGTCTTCCTGTGTGTTGGTCGACTCCTAGTGGGTGGGAGGCTAAGCAGCCTGTCTCCTTTCTTTTTCCCTTTTCCCCTCCTTCCGTTGTGAGGATTGACACCACTCCACATATCCCGATACTCAATAAAATCGCGCTTGGACATAAACCACCTCAACCATAGCTTCCTAAGGACATTTGTGGTGCTCAAACCAAACAGTTATTGTCCATTATTGAACTTTTGGACTAACACCCTGGATTATTGAACTTTGATTCATTTCTTTTGCTTTTACCGGTATTCATTGTAAATATTTGTTCATTGGTTTCACTTTTGTTTGTATAATACACTTTACATCAACTTACCTTTTTGTACTGTCATTTACTGAGCCTATCCTCCAGCAGCCGACCCTAGACTCTTCTGATCAATAGCCCAATACAATTACACTTATCTAATTTATTACCTTTTAATAACAAAGCAGTTGTTACATGTTACTTACAATGGCGATATAAAACATTCTGATTCTGTAATGATCTACACAATTTACACCAGCAATGGAATATGTGCGTTTAACGGGCATATAACAAGCAAAATTGCGTAACGTGGCACATCCTGGCTTTGACACCACAGGGAAGACAGGAAATAGGTGTGTACTGTATGAGCGTGTAAATCCACCCGTGTCTCCTGTTACGCCTATGTCACGCTTACATTACCTAATGCATTACTTGGTGTAAATTGGGGGTCAGTATCCAGTTTGGATACTTGTTTTAGTATTGACCAGATTTTTGATACCATAAAACCACTACATGACCTTTCACTATGTTTGATAATCACAACGACAGATCTTGTACTCGGCTTGTAAACCTCTTCCAACTTGTGACCTCCTCAAACAACATTCCAAGTCCATTGATTTGACGCTGGCCTTTCTCCTCATTAATAACCAAACGCCAAAATCGCATGCCAAATATATACGTACATTCTTTACAAATTTGTGCCGAGATATTTCTTATAATAAACTGTCACGTTGACGTTTTATTGTCCACTGTAAAACCAAAGTAAAATCTATTCAAGGTCTTTTGTGAGGCACTCTGCCCACCTCCCTGGTCTGGTTTGTCTATCTCTGTCCAGCCCCTACTCAGTGAAACATCTGACATTTCGACTTTGTGGCTGGCACTGGGCCCAGTATTTGGCTGAGTGGGCATCCGTGTACCAGGCAACGAGCTGGCACAATGCGGAGGCCGAACTTGGGAGGCGGAGAATCACTGCCAGCGCTACACAATGGACTGGCAAAAGGGCATGGAGCAGCAGCAGACAAACGCAGCTCTAAGCCATTAGTAACTGGCTCAGACTCTCCTAATATAATTGTCTGCTACAGAGGATGCACTGTGGCCTTCGCTTAAACTCTTTAAACTGAAAAGGCTTTGTGGGCATGTGTCGGGAGCTGCATTTGAAAGCTATTTTTGTTCACTGTCTCTGGGCGTTACATTTTCACACTCTTAAACTATATTGTCACTTGTCACCAGCCACTGTAATTGAGTCGATGTGTATATCTGTTTGCCAACTTCATTTTTAACTGTTTTTTGTTGTTGTTACTTATTTCATAAAGGGTTAACGTGGCTTATTACGAGTTACAAGTAAAATGGGATGTTTGGACAAGTTTTTCTGGCGGACCTCTTTAATCTGCAATTAAGTAAACATCACATAAACAAGCAAGTAATTTATTTTCTTTTCAATTACAATTTTACAGAGGTTTGAAAGTTTTAGTTTAGCATCAAATGTGTCTATATCATTGAGACAAACATTCCACGATACCATGTAATTAGTCAGATTACTAGAAAGACGGCCCCTAGTAAGTAATAAAATATATCCGTAATTCTTCAATCATAAATACAAATATAATTCAATAATTGTATGGGATATGTTTTCATGTGATACTATTGAACTTAGACTCTTGCATACCTAGATATTATCAAGCTGAAAAGTTACATTAGAAATAAATTAAGAAGTCATCAACCAGATTTAGTTTTAGCCGGATACCACCATTTGTGTCCGACGATATTATGCATCTTGAATAGACTTACTGGCAAGGATCTGGAAGGCGCCAGTGAGGAAGAAGCGGCCTCCCTTCTGCAGAGTGAAGAGCTGGCAGAAGAAGAGGAAGAGCGCCAGGCAGCTGAAGATGATGGACAGAATCATCAGTGCCTGCACCGCCTGGATCCACTCTGCACAAACGCAAACAAGACACGCATCAATAACAATAATGTACTACAATTAGGCATTAGCTGTAACACTAAACCCTGTGTGCTGCTAACATGTAACTGATATGGCCTAAAGAGCAAGACTAGTGATTGATGTTGATGGGATTGGTTATGTTTGGATCCGTTTGAGAACTATTTATGTAATTAGTTTGGTAAATATGAATGGCCCCATTACAATGCCTTGAGGCACCCCAAAATAGCATTTGAATGTCTTTTTCAGAAAATTGTGTGTGAAACAGACAAAAAGAGGAGTTTGGAGACTGTTGAGGATATAGAGGACAACTAAAATCATTAAAATAAAGGAACACAATATAGAACTGGAAGCAATTCTGGCAATGCAAAGGTATTCCACTTCTAAGTCGCCTAAAGGATTAATACAAAATCACATATAATAGCCATTTTAGACGTTATGGAAGTAGTTTTATTTGTATACATGTTTACTCCAAATGGCTCTTAATCTTAATCTTATATGTGTACAGTCATTGTGGGAAAATATTGTACTATTCTGAGAAACAAAAAATCATAATCTCCCAATAGGAAAATCATCGCTTCAGACATGCTTCCTTCTGGGAATGTATAATGGATCCATAACATATGCCGAGATCTTGTTGCTAAAAGCCCTGTGCACCCCTTTACAGCATGCCTAAGACTGAAACGCTCTATATTGATCGCTACTGCTAGTCTTTCCAAGGCCCCGGCCATTAACCCATTAGACACCTGTATCGACTAGGAGCAATCCTTCTAACTATTTATCTATCTCCAGTGTCTATCTTTATATTGTTGAGTTGTTGTTGTTGCGGTGGTGGTTTCTGTGCCTCAATTGCAACGCCATGCCGGGAATCCTAGGATTTCTAAGCAGGGGCTATTTCTTGTGTATGGGTTATCACACTGCCATCCAAGGATCTCACATTTCATAAGCGCTCGGTCCACCTCGTCCTCACTTTACTGTATATCTGTATTTCATCTTGGTCTCTGCAGCTAGGATACATTTACGCTACATTACCCTTGTATTTATTAAAGAATGGTTTTCACGAAAATTCTATGTTGTGACATTTGATAGGTAATGTTTGATGTACATTGAACTCAACTCAACTCAACTCTTGGCAACGATGCATGCTTCTGCAGATGATCCAATATTCCTACATGTAACTTTATTCAACCAAATTAGTGAACAAACACAACTGTGAACTGGTTTGTCTTTTGCTTGAGAGTGCAATCCATAAGCAGATACAGAAATGTGCCTGCTTTCTTCCAACCACCCATCCAAAAATGTGCTTACCCGAGTCCAAATGCTTTGCAGTTGTAAGCAATCTTTTGGATCTCTGTTATGCCGAGAGATTGGAATAGTCACACAAATACAAATACTGTCGAAGTTCATCAAGAAGTCACGTTAAGACACTTTTTTCCCGGCTATCTTGTTTGTATATCAAAAGTTGTAAAACACCAAAGCTTGACTAAATTCAAAGCTCTTCTTGATTTTGTGGTCGCTTCAAATTACCTTGCCGTGACCTTTACTTCAGATTGGAAACATGAGACGATCTTCGATTGCATGCACCACTTGAAAAACTTGCTTTGAATCTAACCCCCTGCACAATATCACATCTGACAAACAATTAGATTCCACTACTTATTATAAGCCCGTGTTATGCAATAGCTCTTGATAACATTATGACTAATGGATGAAATGTTCCATCCGCCATCACCTATGCACAAATCATCGCTGCTTTGTGATAAACACATCTTCTCCATCTTCCTTCCTCTGTTGTTGCCGTCGTCGTAGGAAAACTTTGGCATGAGGCATTTCCTGGCTCTGGGTTCAAAATAAGGCTGATAAATGTGACACGCTGTCCATAGTTTACACCAATGACATAATGTGTCATTGTAGTGTTGCCTAGTGACGGAGGATACGATGCAGGGCCCAATCCAAACAAGGAAATCCACTCGAGGGGCACCGCAGGCTAAAGTCGTCATGAGCGCATGTTGTGAGATAGAGTGAATTATTTTGTCAGCTCCTGGAGAGGAAGTTTAAATCCAATTCCGTTGTGAGAAAATGTGCCACACTGGTGCCTAATAATAATGACAATAATAATAGGTCAAGGCAACTACAAAAGGGGAACTCAAAACCCAAGATCCCTCAAAATAAAGTACATGACTCAGTATAACCGCATGACGTCAATTTGAAGATAACAATACATATTCTTGTTCATCTATTCTTGGCACAGAGGGAGCATGCTGTTACTTTATGTGACATGGGTGTTTTCTATATTATGCAATGTTGGATCAAATCACGTATGGGTCACAACTGAGTGCACACTTTCAACGGCGCTCTAGCTTGAGTAAGCGGAGATGACGGCTGAAGAGCACTCGGCTTTCAAGCTATGCAAAATCTATATGCAAATGGGCAGGAGACACGGATGGGATTGAATACAAGAAAGTCAAAAATGGATTCCTATGCTTGTATCTATACTCTTCTCCAACTGATTCAAATAGCAGTCTTTTGATACAGAACTCTAATTCACAATAGACCTTGAGCTCAAACGTGAAAACGATCAGATACACTGTAAAAAATATCAAAATACTAAAAAAAATCCAGAGAAAAGAATTCAAACAAGAGAAATGGGAGTATTTGATATGCGGCATGTTTATTACTTTGTTTCACTACGATTTTGTCTTGTACTTTATCAGTACATTGTATGGGGCCTCATTCACTCTATCAAACTGTGATTTATAGATCAACGTAGGTATATGAAGTGTTTTGCTTAAGGACACAATCACCATATGCACTACAGACACTGCCCCAATCTATCACCAGGGTCTCCCATCCAAGAATGAACCAGGCTAAACCAAACTTAACTTTGGCCAAAAAGAAACCTACCTTCCAAGAACAGTTTGGCAATATACAAAGCCTATAGAATACTTTGTGAATGCCATATTTGGTGTTTAGCATCTCAAAACTCCATTGGTTTAACATCGAATCTACGAAAACTCACCGCTCTTTCTCACACAGCCACAACAGCATACATATCGGCACAAATCTCTTAAAACTTCTCCGTGAAAACAACCCATGGCCCACGCAGAATCCGCACCAGAATGAAAACCGAGCTCTCAGCATAAACTTGTACAAGCCGCTGTTATCGTCCATCTCTGCGGCGCGGCGACAGTGTAGGAACAATTTTCTTAAACAAACAGCATGTGTCATTACTAAAGCTGCTCAAACAAGTGCAGAGGCCGCGGCTGCCCCAGGACCTTGTTGCCCTGTCAAAACACACTCATTCTCCACCCGTGACATCACCCTCGCCACACCGGCCACTGCAAGGGCTCTATTATTTTTTATTACTGCAACTGTAATAGTCCAACATAGTCCATGCCAGGAATATTTTGCATCAACAGGGATAAAAAATATGTTTTTTTTAGACTCAATATAGACTGTTTTGGTATTCCAATAATTGCTGTTTACATGGCTTGGAACAGCTCAATCTGTAGCTAATCTTGCAAAAACACATTATAATATGGTGATAGCGCAAAATATGTCACATTTTACGTTAATGACCCTTTAGGAGTTCAGGAATCCCCATAAATTCCATTCTTCATTCCCTGAAGAAGTCCCCAGGTTGAGGACGAAACGTTGGGAAAACTTGCTAAGAAGTACAGATGATGGGTGAGAAACCTTCCTTTGCTTTGACTAATCCCTGTACGACTGAGGGCTTACACAAACTAATCCCCATAAATGTTTGCCTTATTTATTTATTTATTTATTTCTATGATTGATTTTAGTGATTGTGTATCTATCATCGTTTCAGAGCTGCACCTTTTTGTCTAGCTAACAATTCCCTTAGCCTTTTGTGCATTAATCCTTTTCCATCACAAAAAAAAGATCTCTATAATGTTCAAAAACTCAATTTAAAGTGTGTGTGTGGCTATAATGGTACCAAGCTATAGTTACAGGATGAGAAGAGTTGAGTATTCTATAGCTGGAAGTGGCTGGACGGCTTCTCATAGTAAAGTAGATGTAAAAAGTTACTACCACTGTCTGTAAGAAGTCCAAAACAAAGCTAGAAGTTGCTACATTATTATCAAGATAAAATAATTCAATTTAGTGCCAAAATAGTCAAACCAGTTACACTTTTTCCCTCCATCTCTGCAGCATTTCAATATTTCCAATTCTGACTTCTCTTGCTTAAAATACACCTGCAGCTGTTGCCTTAAATTGTCCTAATGATCCCGGGGCCCTATTCTCTGGGCGTGACCCTGCGCTATGCCCTGTACGTGGGGTGGCCCAAGGTCCCGCCAACTTTAAATACTACTGTTTCCACACTAGAAGCAGAAGCAGAAACAGCCCCACCCCAAATATCCCTTCTACAACGCACTGTCCCTCAATATGGACATAGCGCCTTGCCTATTTATACAGCCCCAGCCTATCAGCGCAGGCAGTACCACATTCTCTGCTCTAGATGGCAGCAGAGTGCCAGAGGAGGAGGGACACACCCACATTACAGGCATTTTATAAACAGTATCCACTTTCATGTCTTGAACTCAACTATTTCAGTAGTAGCATAGGCTTTAAATGTTGCAAAGACACAAGAGAAAGGCATCCCAGGCTTCAGGTTAAAGCTGAGAGAGTGAAAATAATACTTTTTTTAATCGTTTTTGACTTACCTCCAGCTGAAGCAGGCACACAAAATTGCCCATTAGTAGCAGAGGAGCAGTTTTGCCATAGGTCTGAGGTTCCAAACTGGCCTGTTGACCATACCTAGTAATGGACAAATAAAATATTACATTACGTCACTAACAATTCCACAATCTGTTATTTTAATGATGAAATTGCCTTGTTATTAAAACTGGGGGAACTAACTTTTTAACTACAAAAATGTAATCCATCAGAAGATCCTTCTAACTAATTCCTGGCTCTCAGTTTTTTTCTATTAGTGGTTTTCACATGCATGCTGTGGCTTCTATGTTACATCTTTAAATCAGCTTTTTCAGACAGAAAAAGTGAAAAAGAGAAGACCAATTGTCTAAAGTGTCAAATAATACTACAATACTCACAGAGCTCTTTCTAATCTATAAGCATGCAAAATATAACATGTCAAAACATAGGATGAGGGACAAGTTGGGCTCAGTTACAAGACTCCTTTCGTTGGAGAGAAAAACAGATATTACAAAGTTAGGTCCCCCAGGTTTAAGTTTGTGTCATGTTGGATGAATGTTCAGAGTAGACTTACGCTGACAATAGTGGACACAAACAGAAGCACAAGGGCAACGACGTGCAGGAAGATGATCCCCAGTAGTAGCAGCAGCATCTTTACGTCTGCACACAAGAGCAGTGAGGTGAATACAGCGCGCTCTGATGCGAGTGCGTGTTTTGGCCGCGGCTGGGACAGGGACGCATGGGTGTGTCTCAGAGCGGGAGCAACATGCAGCAGCAACCTAATACCCGGCCGGGATACTTCATCTGCAGGACGTGCGTCAAATAGCAGGCTACGACCCTTGTCTATTTTTGTCCTTGGAATGTTTTGACAATGTTTCAAACACACAGCTTATTCAAATCCAGAGAGACGTGTTTTTTTTTTTCATTACGCATTTTGGACACGGTTCTTTTTGAATGACATAACTGGAAAACTCTGTGGCGATCCAAGTGTGCGTAACATATACGTCACAAAATAAATGGATAGATATATCGATAAATAGAGAGATAGATAGATTGATAGATAGACAGATATACGGGTAGATATATAGACAGATAGGTAAACAGATAGATAGATTGATAGATAGACAGATAGACAGATATACGGGTAGATATATAGACAGATAGGCAAACAGATAGATAGATAGATAGATAATTTATAGATCCGTCAGATAAAAGTGTCCAGCATCAAAAATACATTCATTTAAACCTGAATAGATACATACAGTCCCTAAATGAAAAAAAGACATTTCTCCAATAATGCATTTATGGTAATGGGACTAAACCAATTAGTGACGTAGCATCAGCATTACGCACAGCTCATCCTCTACGCGTTTACCTTAATTTAAATGATCTGTTTTATTCTTAAATGCACTTCCTGCTTCTCTCCGGTGCTTAAGTTGAGGAAGTATATGAAGGGTAAAGTCCACTTACTTGTTGCGTGCGGCTGTAATTCCCACAAAAACAAGAAAAAACGTGTGACAAAAGTTCCCTAAAGTCCAGCAGCAGCAGCAGCAGCGGTATCCTCAGTCAGACTGCAGCACAGATTGATGCCAGAGGTTCACGCCGCTGTTATAAACATTCTCATTTTGGAAGAACACCGCCCCTGTGCGTGCACGTCACCGCTCCCAATATAGACGCTCCGTGCGTAAAAAGCGCGCGGTTGCTGTGGTTACCGAGCTGTTTTATGTGATGGCTAGACATGGTATTAGTAGTCAATGGAGAAACAACGGGGTTTTAAATACACTGAATGTTGAACAAGTCAACAAGGCATGGCAAAAAAATATAACGTATACAGGCAGGCAGGTTTATATGTATAGCACAGGTCAAACGCAAGGCAACTCAACGTGAATGAAAAAACATGAACCATTCAAGGCATCAAAATAATAAAAGTATATTAAATTGTAAGAAATAATAATAAAATAAAAACAGCAACAACACAATACCTTGCAGCTTTAAATGCACACGCACCTACACACACACACATCAGGGATCTGACTAAATACAAATCAGGAATTTACTTTCAAGATCATTATGTCCACATGCCGCAAACCAAACTACTATGGTTTTGTTTTGCATTACATTTCCCCATCCCCCACTATTTTCATTATTCTTATGTTTACTGTCCTTTTCGGCACACACATATTCCAAATATTATTCAGTGTTGAGGCTTGAAAATCTTGGGGCATATTAATTATGTATTATGGTTTAGGTCTTCATGGTAAAAGTATACTATAGGTTATACATATGTCATGGTCACATCTTGAATGACTATACAATCGGCTTTTTACAGATTTGAATGCATTTTGCCTGAATTACACCAATATGTTGTCTTGGCAACCCATAAACGATCGTAGTCTCACTTCCTGCTCTCTGTAAACATATTCTGTATTATGTCAGAACGTGGTGAGTGTGATGTTCCATGAGAAGCGGCCCTTTTGTTGTCTTGGCAATACGGAACACAAACACAGTGATGAGGCATGGGCTCTCCCTGGACGCTGGACTCACTTTCATGAGAGCTGATAGGACGTCCCGCCCTGGTCCCGGCGAGCCCATATTGTTAAATGTTAAATATACAAGCGTGACCTGCGGGAGTGTGTCAATGGGATTCCTGTTTGGGGAGGAAAGGGAGCAGTGAAAATATTCGATGGTCCTTTTCTTGAGGAGCGTGGTGTCTGCGGTGGTGTGTGCCGAGTTAAACCTCCAATAGTGAACTGTGTTGAGGAAGTGAGTAATACAAAATCATGGGTACTTTGTGCAAAAACAATGTGGTTATTTCTGGCATCACATTGTTTCGTTTTTAAATAAGATTTCATTTCCAGTGCCACTTACAAACCATAGGAATTAGTATGTGTATGACTTGTTGAAACTTTGTAAATAAAGATAATTGAATTGAATACTGGGCTTACAATTTGACCCACAGCCAAGAATAATGAGAATGATCACAGAATAATGGTTTTCATACAGCGCCTTTTTGCACATTCAAAGACGCTTTCCATGTTGTTATTCTTTCACTCCAAATAGTGATAAATTACTGTAGCCACAGCTGCCCTGGGGCACACTGACAAAAGTGAGGCAACTAGTACGTGACATTGGCCCCTCCGACCACTATCAGCCATTCACACGCACTTCAGACTCAATCTAGGCAAGGTGGGTGAAGTGTCTTGCCTAAGAACCCAATGAAAGTTTGGCCCATTACAGCCGCAGCCACTCCACTGCGGCACCTGGTGTTTCCAGTGGTCTCCCATCACAGTACTAACAAGGCCATGATCTGCTTAGCTTCAGAAGTCTAAAGTGATCTGACTTTCACATTAAGATTTTGTCTGATGTTGTAGCTGGATACTTTGCAAATATGAAATACAAAATACCCTTTTATTTTGACATTGGTCAAGACTGTTTTATTGTCCTCATATTTCTATTCATCCCGACTAAGAAAAATGTCCCCACTAGGTTTGCTCCTATTTTAAACCAGAAAAGCCAGACAAATGTATAGAATATATATATATATCCAAGTGATTGAATACGATTCAGTTAATAAAGCCTTTAAAAGCTGGGGTATACTAACTTTAAAATACAAACCCCAAACATTCATATATATTATCAAATCCATCTAACTTCTCGTACTCAAAACTTTAAATTTTAACTCTATGGATTTTTTTGGCCTCTGTCTCATCTCTAGACCTCCATCACTCAGCCAATCAGCTCTCTTTGACTGTAGTCTGTTATTTGCTATTCACCCATTGTCCCATTGTCTGTTTCATGATGCAACAACGACAATCCGGCAGTCCATCTACACCCGCGGACTGTCCTGCCCCGACCCGCCTGGGAGCAGCTTCAATCCTCACCGGACCTGTCCACGTTCTGCGGCCGCTGCATGGCCCTTTACTTTTACACTTTAACATTCTACAACATGTATGGACATTTATCTTTTTTGTGTCTCAATTGTTGACTCTCTGATCTCTGTTGGTGATTTCAAAGGTTTTGTTAAGTCCTCTGAGATGACTACTGTAGTTAGGGCTATACAAGAATACATTGTACTGTATTGTATTGTATTGTATTGTATAAATAATGTTAAGTTCTCCAGTTTTAACAAAGAATTTACTATGTTTAGTCCATTCATTGACTATTGCTTGTTGATAAATCTTCTCAAACACAGACTTATAATGTGTGGCTCTCTGACTCTTACAAAATATCAAAACAACCAAGTTTTAGCACACCCATAGACTTAAGCTGTATCCAACCCAGGCACAAACATCCAATGCATGTGTTGAGAGAAGTCCCTTGGCCTCTGATAACCCTGTCATCGTCCCATCACGGGTCCTCACCCCTTCACGGGTCCTCACCCCTTCACTTCCACAATGCCGTCATCTCTCCCTGAACAAGACCTTTGGCTGCTCTTGAACAGAAGGGTGCAAGTATGTGCCCCTCTCGGCCTGAGGACCACTTTGTCCGACACAGTCCAGAGATAAGTCTGTGTATCCACCGTGCTGCAAGACGAGTTTCACCATCTCCCAAAGCCGTAAACGAGATATGAGCTCTAGGCAACTGTAAAACCTTAAGATGACAAATTTTAAGAGCTACCTTTCCCTTATATGTCAATATTTGCAAAGGACAGTGGGCGTATTGCGTTTGTGTGAGCAGACAGGAAGCCTAATTTTTATAGAAAGTTTAGTTTTCATTGCAGTGAGAGTAATACTACATCTTTGTCCAATTTTATCTGACGCTCAGTTTTGGATCTGAATGTGTTATCTGAATCTAGAGTCCTGTCCCTCACACCACCAGCTGAAAGCAAAGTCATTCTCATCAAAATCAAATGGGTAAAAAAGGTCTTCCGTGCCAGTACAACAGTCTATATGGTGTTGTATAGAGACTTATTTTTACTAATTGGGTGATATTGGATTGTTTCGGGAAGGTACGCTAACATGCCAGGGCATACAGGTTGAAAAATACTGCTCTGGAAAAATAGCTTTGCATGAAATCTATCTGTGGTATGATTTCCGAATACAGGTGAAACTCAAAAAGTTGATAATCGCCCAAACTTGTGGTGATTAACACTAGGACCGCCGTGCTCTAAACATACCTTGCACCGCCCCCTGCGGTCAGTTGACCGCTATGTATTTTGCGCTGATACAGCCTTTTGCCAAATTGATTGTTCACTAAACCAGAACTTGATGTTGCAAAGGAATCGTGATCATAATGAAACTGTGTAAATTATTTGTCTAAATATGCTAAGTAATTGTAATTCTAGCCGAAATAAAAGACTAAGACGACACATTTTGCGTGTACTGATCCATCAAAATTACGATGACTTTTCAGGCTAGATTTATTTTGTAACTTTGCAAACACCTAAAAGGTCAGTCACTATATGTTATATTTGACTCAGTAACAATATGTAAATTCAAACAATATAAATTATAGTTTAGAAAAGCACGGGACCATAACGTCTTCGCGCTGCTATATGCGTCTACTTCTTACGTCATCTCCAGACTGTTTTCTCTTTAGAGGCCGAAATCACCGTGGGAAATATTATCTAGATAATAATAATAGTATTCGTATTGACACAAGATCATCAGCTAGGCTACCATCGTCAATGTAAAATCTTCAATTTTACACGGGACACGTTAGAAAGGACAAATATATGTATATATATATTTGTATTTATTTGAGACAAGCAGTGCTCTTTATGCTCAGAACAAAATTATAATCATTGCCTTGCAGTGCGCGCTGTGCAGAATAACACACAGTGTTATCTGGATGAAAAAAGAATTATATCCTTATTGATATATGAGGGCCGCCTCTGCCCCACAGTCCCTCTCTGCAGTGTCCGCGGGTGACGAGCACTCTGATCTGCACTCTGCCTTGATAGTTCATCTAATTGTTCTATTTTATTGCGATATTGTATTCTGCTGTATTGCCTTCTTGTATGTATAAATATGAGAATGTAATTGATGATGAATGAAAAGGCAGAATGGAGCAACAGCGCGCACACAGACACCTGCGTATGGCTGGCATTACGCGGGTCATGTGCGTTATTGCTTCTGGACTTGTTACAACACTGCTGTCCGTGCCGTGAATGCACTTTGGGGTTACGTTCAGATTTAGAATATTATAGGTGTTCTCCCCGCTGTCACTTTCTACCTCAAAATGTGACATCTCTCACCTCCGTCAGACTGTTCTCATTCAATGTCTTGAAGCACTGTCAGGGCTTCATACCGTGTACTTGCAGCTCTATTCATTTTGTACTCCTCTCTCTCTCCCAAATAATAATAAAAAAGTCCCTTTAGAGTCTAATGACAACATATTGATACATTTTTATAAGGCGCGAAAAACCCCCGGGAAAGGTTACTATGACAACAGGCGCCCCTGCGCCATGTATCTCCATGGGGAAGCAGAAAGGGCTGTGGTTTAGAAAAGTTAAAATGTGTGTAAATCTTGTTTTCTTTACTTTTTCCAAAACCAAAACACACCAAAATATAAACAACAAGTACCTAGAAAAAGTCATAAAATTTCAACTTCTGGCGTTTTGTTTTGAATACACTAATTAGCATAATAAAGTGAGTGACGGTCAGTTGACCGCTAGGGGCGCTCCTAGTGTTAAGCAGTTCTGATGTTTGTCTTTCCAACCATCTTAAATATTGGTTTAAATTTTTAAGTAGATTTACAGAAATTCACCGACTTGACTTGACCTGAACACTGTCGAGAAATAAAAACAAGGCAGCGGCCCTTACATCTTTTTCATATTGAACAAACCGAGACTACACCAATTATATGATTTGTAACAATGTGCATAAGAACAGAGAAGTCATCACTTGAGATATTAATGAAGCTGATGTTTAAGATATAGATACTGGATTAACAATGTGTCAAAAAAAAAAAAATGGCGCTGTGGCAAGAGCTCTGGTTGTACTATTGTCATGGTATGGATTTTATTTTTGTATTTTGCTTTTATTTTGAAATCAGTTCTCTGTGGTTTTTTAGTTTGACTTCCTGTCTTGTTCCCCAGTCTTGATTGTCTGCCCCGCCCTGATGTGTTTCACCTGTGTCTGTGTCTATATGTACCCTGTGCTTCTCTCCCCTTGTTGCTAGTCCATTGTATTGTCAACGTCTTGTCCTTGTCTGTTCCTGTTTCCTTGATTTTTGTGCCTTTGGATTATGAGTTTTACCTGGACTTTTATTTTAGTATCATAAAATAATTATTTTTTGGCATTCCTGCATTTTGGGTCCTTCCTCATTCACTTCTCCACGTGACAACTATCTGATGCACACTGGGGGAGTCTTGCACAGTTTTTTCAGTGTGGTTTTACTGCAAATGGCAAATACATTCTTGAATCTTGAACAAGGACGTACAGTGCTTCAAATAATGTTTGAGCAGTAATACAGAAAATATGCAGGTCAGATTCCACAACACTATTCAAATTTTCTGATTGTCACCTGTTCGCTGTTCGCTTGACTTTTAAGACATAGATTAGTGTTTCCAAATTGTTCCACACACGATGAAAAGCTGTTGATGCTTCAGACCGGACACATGCGACTGTCATGGGATCAGAGCTATGGCCCTTTCTCAGTTACCGTAACCTCATCCACATACCACCACTCACCTCAAGTGCGAAAGCAGATGTAGATTCCTCAATTGACGTGTCTATCGGCTTTAATTAAACAAAAACATTTTTTTTTTTGGAGACGAAACAGTGCAATCATTCACCCAGAAGTGATTCATTGTGGAGAAAACTTGGCCCAGATGTGAGTTTATCTTAGTTATACTGATAAAAGGGGATTACATTATATCTAAAATTAGAGAAATGACAAGCATGTTTTAGGCCAAGTCTAATTTTTTTTTGAGTTTTTAGCTATTATTTTGTTGTTCTTTATAAATGGAGTCTGTGGTGTTTTTGGATTGTGGTGTATATGACTGTATATTTTTATAAGTGAATGTATGTAGTTTGACAGAGTAACGTTGGTATACTGTCAGCTATGTCCAACATTATAATAATAACAATAATTGAATATAGCGGCAGGTAAGTGAAGGGAAATCCACAAAACACAGGTGTGATCAAAATAACTCAGGATCTGGATGTGCTACAGAGAGTGGGAGGGAATTATCTGGTAGAGAAGTGGTGAACAGACTGATCTTGTTGCACAGAGGGAGGGATGAGGTGTAGGTGTAGGTGTGCCTCGTCTGCAGCTCGGGCAAAACCGACCACGCCCCTTGCCACGCCCACTGCCACTCACCGGCCACGCCCCCTGCCACACACATGCAAAACAGGAGAGAAGGAAGCACAAGGACTTTTTTTTTCTTCTTCTCCATTATTATTATTATTATTATTATTATTATCATTTTTGTATGATGGTCTTTGTGTGTGTTCTGTTTGGGGTGATACTTTTGTTTTTTTGTGTCCTTGTTGAACGTTGATTTGTTTTGTTGGACATAAAACTAAAAGTCTGGACCTGAAGGATGTTTGAAGGACAACCTGACAATCGCATCCCCCTTTACAGTGTACTCAGCCTCATTACCAACGAGATCAGATCATCAATCCAAGTATAATGTGATAAAAACAGAAACTTTGTGTTAGGGACTCCTAGTCAGTGACTACAATAAGCAGTATACAGTACAGTATTTTGGTTTTACTCAGCCCATCAAAGTGAAATAGGTGGAAGTGAACGTTTGACTTCTGCCTATTTTGCCGTCAACACTTTTTAATTTGATGAAATGTAGTGATGACAGCGGAGACCCTCACAGAGCTCTGGCCTTAAACTTATCTGCATTCAATAGCTGTTACCTGTCACCAAACAAAATGGAGCTGGGAGTGAACATTTTGTATTAACTTCAGATATTAGGCAGTCTGGATCACTTCAGATTCAGATTCAGATTCATTTATTTGCTATTTGCAATAAAACCACATTGGAAAAACTGTGCAAGACTACCCCAGTGTGCACCAGGTGGCACACACCAGAGCTCTTGCCACGGCGCCATCTTTATGGCGCCACTTCAATGCAAGTACACAACAACTGTAATGTTTCCTTAAAGATTGTTCTAATTATTGTTCCAACCCACAGAACCTTTGATTATATGTGCTTTATGAAATTATATTAGAGGAAAGTTTACAGCATGGCACACAACCCAGTCTTATGAAGCATAGCTGCCACCAATGACACTGCATGAACTGCAAACTTTAAAATCTTATATAAAAGATAATTTCGTTTCTAAAAGGCTATTTTTTACCACTGTTAGACAAATAGGTATGATTATTTGTGTATAGTGTACTGATCCTTTAGTATATGACTATTTTTTGTTAGAATCTGAAATATGTTCAGAGCAGAATCCTCCCCCTCTCCTTCCAGACACACAAAATAAATAAATAATCTCAAATTCAATCATGGAGACTCCTGTTCCCTGATCGTTCACTCTGCTGTGATTCAGCAAAATGAAACAGTGGCACCATTTCCTGTAATAGGGTTCTGCAATAATGAATGACACAAGGTTTTTTGAAAGCCACACATAAAAAGCACT